CATGAACAGGAAGTTGTTGTAACTTCCAGTGTACATGCTCACATCTGAACCAAACTTTACGTGCTTGATAACTCAAGGGGTCCCTTCTCTGCTATTGGTGGACCAGTCAGAAGAGGCTCATGGGTGTGTCCGGGCGTGGGTCAAAGATCAAGTCTTCGCCCATGACACAGGAAGTTGTTGTAACTTCAGTGTACATGCTCACATTGAACCAAACTTTACGTGCTTGATAACTCAAGGGTCATCTTCTCTGCTATTGGTGGACCAGTCAGACAGGAGAGCTCTTACTCTGCCTGCAGACATCAACGATCTTGCCCCTCACACAGTCAGATGGCTTCCTTCAGTGCACTGAGGTGTTTAACAACTCTGAAGACACTACCAGCAATGTCTTCCTTCTCTTTTCACGTAGACGCTCCGACAGACAGTGCTTTCAGTTTGCTGCATGCATGGACACAGAACTGCGGTATAGGGAGAAGCACACGGTCAGCTGGCTGCAGCTAAATCTGGAGTGCACTGTCATTCAATTCTGTATGGTAAATTCAGTTTTAACGGAGCAGAGCGAGCTGACAGGCAGAGTTAGAGACTTTTTCTGTCCGTTTCTCTCTTTACAAAGACGCATGTCAGAGGTTCTCTGAAGAGGGCAATGAAGTCTCAGTAGTACCGATGCGAGCACGACATACAACACAATTTATCAAATTACACACGGATATACAGTATGAAAATAAGATTGATTGGATTATACTCACAGGAAGTATAAAACCTGTTACATGCGTCTATTAAAAGTAAAGTAACACAAAAATGTCAGGGAAATTACTTTACTTAGATTTAAGTACTGCAGTTGTACATTTGAAATACCTTCCTACTTTCTGATAGGAAGCCTTCTTGAGGTGGATAAAACATTTCTTCTTATATTCTGATTTGAGTTGTGGACAACTATGACCACATGAATTAAAAAAAAACATTTCACTGCCCAAGTCAGCTATAACACAAGTCTTGTTCATCAGACTACATGCTGTACAGTATTTGTGGACAGATTTTGTCCCAGGATTTATTATGCATTTCTTCTTCTTCGTTGCATGATTTAGAATAATAAGGTGAGAAATGGGTCTGTTCTGAGTTCATCCTGCACTGCAGCAGCTAATAAAGTCCATTTAATCCCAAAAACGCTTTTCTTTTAGGCAGGCTGGAGCAGAAAACAACTCACCTTTCTCAAGTTGTACAGTAATGTCACATGTGTATGAAGGTGGATCAAACAAGCTAATCTTAAATGTCAAAGTAGAGAGGAGCTAGTAGGCCTATTATTTTCATTCATTACACAATATGAATAAGCTATGCAGACAGTTGTAAAGAAAGAACATTTTTCTTCTGTTCTCTACTTGTTATAGTTACACAGTATTAGGGGTGTGGGCTGTATTAAAAGTATCCACTGTTCTCCCATGCTCTAACACACAGTAACGATGAAATGTGTGCTGTTCTCACATTCTTCCTCTGTATGTACACATAAACAACAAGGCAGGGAAATATAAAAGGAATTTATTTTATTGTTTGGGTACATTATTGTTCAGTGTACATGCTCACATCTGAAACAAAACTTTACGTGCTTGATAACTCTCCCACCCGCAGACATCTACACCAATACCGATTATATTCATAGCGCAAGTGCTATGTAGCTCCACATAGGGGACACAGGAAGTGACATATAACACCTTCATGCGGCGTCGGAACCGCGTAGAAATTCACAGCCGCACCGGCTGAGCTCCAGAATATGCAACTCGGCCGGTTCACGCGCGGACGCGCTACAAGTGCGAGGGCCCGCCCAACGCTGCTTGCAGCTTTAATTTTTAGGGCCCGAGCACGACCGTGTGAGGTCCCTATTGAATTTGCTCGGATTATTTTTTTTTATTTTATTTTTTTTTCTGCAAAGTAGGCCCAAATGACATGGCCTAAACATACTCGAAAACTCACCAAAATTTGCAAACATGTCAGAACCGGTGAAAAATTTCGTATTCTACAAGTTTCGCACATGGGCGTTGCAAAATGACTCGCTAGCGCCACCTAGAAAATTGGAAAAAATTAGCCCCTCGTTCACGTTCAACCTACATCTACGAAATTTTCTGGGGACATGTATCATGTCAAGACGCACAAAAAGCCTCAAGAACCCATAGCCTAAAGTCAACAGGAAGTCGGCCATTTTGAATTTTATGGCCATTTTTGGATGATTTACACACTTCGTACTTTAACGAACTCCTCCTAGGGATTTAGTCGGATCGACGTCAAATTTCTGCTGTGCCTTCTAAAGGCATTGACGATGAAAAGTTGTGCTATTTGCGCGTTTTCGTCAATGGGCGTGTCCGTGGCGTGGCGTCAAAGATCAACTCTTCGCCATGACACGGAAGTTGTCGTAGCTTCAGTGTACATGCTCACATCTGGACCAAACTGTACATCTAGGATGAGAGTCCCGCCCTGAACACATGTACATGCTGATATTCACCCACAGTCATAGCGCCACCTGCTGGCAACAGGAAGTGACTTTTAACGAAGCAGCCCCCGCCGCACGTTTCACCTACGTGCACGAATTTTCTGTGGTACGTGTATCTTGTCCAGACGCACAAAAAAGTCTCTTGGAGCCATAGCCTAAACCCAACAGGAAGTCGGCCATTTTGAATTTTACGTCAAATTTTGGATGATTTACACACTTCGTACTTTAACGAACTCCTCCTAGGGATTTAGTCCGACCGACCTCAAATTTCTGCTGTGCCTTCTAAAGGCATTGAAGATGAAAAGTTGTGCTATTTGCAAGTTTTCGTCAATGGGCGTGTCCGTGGCGTGGCGTCAAAGATCAACTCTTCGCCATGACACGGAAGTTGTCGTAACTTCAGTGTACATGCTCACATCTGCACCAAACTGTACATGTAGGATGAGAGTCCCGCCCTGAACACATGTACATGCTGACATTCACCCACAGTCATAGCGCCACCTGCTGGCAACAGGAAGTGACTTTTAATGAAGCAGCCCCCGCCGCACGTTTCACCTACGTGCACGAATTTTCTGTGGTACGTGTATCTTGTCCAGATGCACAAAAAAGCCTCTTGGAGCAATGCCCTAAAACCAACAGGAAGTCGGCCATTTTGAATTTTACGTCAAATTTTGGATGATTTACACACTTCGTACTTTAACGAACTCCTCCTAGGGATTTAGTCCGACTGACTTCAAATTTGTGCTGTGCCTTCTAAAGACATTGAAGATGAAAAGTTGTGCTATTTGCGAGTTTTTGTCAATGGGTGTGTCCGTGGCGTGGCGTCAAAGACCAAGTCTTCGCCATGACACAGGAAGTTGTTGTAAATTCAGTGTACATGCTCACATCTGAACCAAACTTTACGTGCTTGATAACTCTCCCACCCCGCTATGGAGGACCGATCCTGACACAGTCAGAAATAAATACAGAAATAAATAAATGCTCAATAAATAAATAAGCTTTCAATTAAATACACAAAAAAATAAAGTAAATAAATAAATGTTGGTATTAATTAAATTATACAAGGAGACATAAATGTATATATTTTAATTAGTGCCTTTACTTATTCACCTTTGTTATAATTACCTTATTTGTTTATTCAACTTTATTTATTACTAATTTTTTTAATATATTTATTTATGTGTGTGTTTTAATATTTTTGTCTGTTTTATTCTTCCTTTGTATTTATTTACCTTATTTATTTTCACCCATGGTATTTATTTCTGCCTGTCCTTTTTAAATTTCTGTTTGCATTTCTGCCTCATTATGCAAATGAGGAGGGGCTGTGTCTCAAGGGGTCATCTTCTCTGCTATTGGTGGACCAGTCAGACAGGAGAGCTCCTACTCTGCCTGCAGACATCAACGATCTTGCCCCTCACACAGTCAGATGGCTTCCTTCAGTGCGCTGAGGTGTTTAACAACTCTGAAGACAATACTACCAGCAATGTCTTCCTTCTCTTTTCACGTAGACGCTCCGACAGACAGTGCTTTCAGTTTGCTGCATGCATGGACACAGAACTGCGGTACAGCACACAGTAACGATGAAATGTGTGCTGTTCTCACATTCTTCCTCTGTATGTACACATAACAACAAGGCAGGGAAATATAAAAGGAATTTATTTTATTGTTTGGGTACATTATTGTTCAGTGTACATGCTCACATCTGAAACAAACTTTACGTGCTTGATAACTCTCTGACCCCCAGACATCTACACGTCAATACCGATTTATATTCATAGCGGCAAGTGCTATGTAGCTCCACATAGGGGACACAGGAAGTGACATATAACACCTTCATGCGGCGACATAACCGCGTAGCAAATTCACAGCCGCACCGGCAGAGCTCCAGAATATGCAACTCGGCCGGCTCACACGCGGACGCGCTTACAAGTGCGAGGGCCCGCCCAACGCTGCTTGCAGCTTTAATTTGTATTCGTTTTTTGGTATGTATGGATTTCTTGGGAAATTTTATGTCAATAGCACCTTTAGAAACATGTTAACTTAGAAGAATGGTGACATGTTCAACATTTACTTTACCTGCTGTGTAGCACCTTTCATAGACTAAGGGGTCACAAAGTGCTTTACAGTAAATTAAATAAACTAAACAGTAATATATATATTATAACAAAATACAAAACCATATTAGTTAAAAGCTTGTCTAAAAAGATATGTCTTTAGGTGTTTTCTAAACGTTTCCCCAGAATCCAAGGCTCTCAAACCTAAAGGGAGAGACTTCCAAAGCCTTGGAGCCACCACACAGAAAGCACAATCACCTCTTGTCTTAAAACTTATTTCTGGGAACAGTTGAAATGTCTCGACCTGAAGACCTCAGAGAGCGACCAGAGGTGTGTGCATGAATTACATCCTGGATGTAACAGGGAGCTTGTCAAGGCTCTTTGAGTAATGATTAAAATTTTTAAAAAGTCAAACCAATCAGAAGCCAATGAAGGGACTTAAGCACAGTGTTAATGTGCAGTCTCCTGCTGGTCTTAGTCAAAAGTTCCTGCTGCTGTCTGTACAGCTGATGTTGTGCTTTGTTGTCCTCTCAGTCTACCAGGTGGAGGTGGATTCAGAGGTGGAGTCTGTCCTGCTGCCCTGCAAAACCACAGTTCACCTGCCTGAAGGCGTCACAGTGGAGTGGAGGGACAGTTACAAAATGACGGTCCACGTATATAAGAACGGCTCTGACCAGCCTGAAGAACAGCACAGTTTTTACAGAGACCGAACAGAGATGAAGAGAAACCTGCAGAGACCTGGAGACCTCAGTCTGACCTGAAATACCCCACAGACTACGACAGAGACACCTACACCTGCACCGTCTACAGCAGGGAGAGAGACATCCTGATGGAGAAACAAGTGGAGCTCAAGGTCAAAGGTCAGTGCTGTAGCTACAGGTCAGAGGTCAAAGCTCTGAAAACCAAATTGCCTGTTTCAGTCCCCAGCTGATCAATCTGCACATCTCTAGCTGTAGAAGGTGACTTACAGTCCAACAAGCTGGTAAACAAGCTAGCTGATGTTATAACATCGTGGGCTCATGGAAAAATGATCAGTTATCAGGATTAATTTCTTAATGACTCAGCATCATCTGTATTAAAGACTAAAGAATGAGTTCATCTGATGTTTAAAGTGAATAAAACAGCCCTGCCAGTCTGCTTAACATTACTGCAGTTTCACAACTACTGAAGGATCAAACTGGTTTTCTGCCACCGGACTCCTGAGAGGGAAAGCAGGCAGAGGACCAAACCACTGTGAGGCAAGAGAGGGGGACTCAAAATGTTTCGAAACTTAAAACACACTTTTACTGCCCTGTGTGTGTTTCTATTGTTTTACTACTTACACAGTTATTCTAAGTACAGTGCAAACGTATTTGACACGCTGCTGATGTTCCTACTTACAAAGCATGTGGAGGTCTGTCATTTTTATCATATTATGTCATGCAATAAAATGCAAATGAATCATTTAAAAATCATACAATGTGATTTTCTGGATTTTTGTTTTAGATTGCGTCTCTCACAGTTGAAGTGTAGCTATGATAAAAATAACAGACCTCTACATGCTTTGGAAGTAGGAAAACCTGCAAAATCAGCAGTGTATCAAATATTGTTCTCCCCACTGTAGATATCATTACATTATTAATGCCAAAACTGTTTCAACAATAACTGACTGGGAAATATTCTGTTTATTAAATGAATGCACGGCATGGATTTACTTAATACACAAGTGTTCATATTAGCAACATGCTACAGGTGGTGAATAATAGGCCTTATCATACAGCTGCATCTGTATCAAGGGAAGCCACCTTAATATTTTATAATGATACATAGGGACCTAGGTTACCCACAGCAGTGAGGGCCAACGCCAGGCTGACAAAATAACATCAGCTAGTCAGCCATTAGGACAGTTAGCCGAAGCTGCAGCTGCATCAGTAAACTATGCTAGCTACATAAACAATGTCAAATAGCTTCTGCTGCGCTGTTGGACTCTGAGCGATCAGCAGCAGCAGGTGACAGTCTCACTTTATGATAGCGGTATGATTATAATATTATCATTAACCTTAACTGGAGCGTAACCCAGTATAAACAGTAGAGTCTAAAAGAGTTCATTAGAAGTTAATCTGAGATTAAAAGTCATTTCATGTTGATGAACAAGGTAAAAACATGGAGATGTATTTTATTAAAAACTGTTATATGTTGTATGATAAATAACTCTAACACGATAATGTTGAGTTAAAAACAGCATTTTTATGTTCAACTGGTAAAACTGTGCTAATTGAGCTGGAGTCTAATAGTGGGCTGTCATTGGTTGGAGGAGTGCATGATGGGAAATCAAGGTCAGGAAAGGAGGAGAGCGGCAGAAGGAGGATGGCGTCTTTGAGCCCGGGAGTGGAAATGTTTGAAAATGTTGAGAGTATGGCGAGTGAACGGGATGGTGAGCGAGGAGAACGGCAGGAGGTAACATGGAAGAGACCAAGAAGGAAGAACTCTGTGTCCAGTCACAGTGAGTCGGAACAACAGAACCAACTGAAAAAAGAGAGGAAAACAAACGGGACGGGAGAGAGGAAAGTGGAGATGGAGTTCAGAGAAGTTTCTGGTAGTAAACTACATCCAGTGAAACTTCCAAAGAGATCGGACACATTAGACAAGCAAGATTTCTGAGTAAAGGGAAGATGTTGATTGAAGCAGTCAGTAGAGTTCAACAGATACTGAAGATGAAGACCTTGAATGAAGTTCAAATTAAAAGTCCCGTTCCTGGGGCTAATCGTAAGGTTAGAGGAGCGATCAGTGGAGTTCCATTAGATATTGCTATTGAAGAAATGAAGAAAGAAATGAAAGGAGACAGAGTCACGGCAGTGAAGCGTCTTCCTACTAGATATCAGGGGAAATTAGTTGATAGTCTGTCCTACTGCAGTTTGAGGGAGACGTGCCTCAGAAAGTAATGATTGGCTGCATGAGCTTTAATGTGAGGGAGTTTGTACCTCAGCCGTTACGTTGCTTTAAATGTCAGAGAATCGGACATGTGGCAGATCAGTGTAAATCTAAGGGTGTGCTGGAGAACATGAATATGGCCGCTGCGCAGTAGTCACTAAAACTAAATGTTGTAACTGTGGGGGGAACATAGTGCTGCTTACCAGGGATGAGGAGTTCAAAAAAGAGCAAAAGATATTCAGAGATACAAAATAAAGTATCATACGCTGAAGCAGCAAAACAAGTCTCATTGATAGTGACAGCAGATTCTCAGCAAAGGACTTCCCTAAACTACCACAGACGCAGAACACGAGTGCCATAAAGTGTTCACATAAGTGTGCAGTTAAAGACGATGCTCTGATAGTGGAGAAGTTTCCATTTGTAGCTTTCATAGGTTTGGTAGTGAACGTAGCGCTGCAGCAGACAAAGAAAAGGTCCAGGCTGAGGACTATTGTTGAGGCAGCAAAAGATTATTTGGGGATCACGGAGATGACTGTAGACATGTTACATGAAATGTCAGCACCGAATGACGGAACATCTCAGTTTAGTGACTAAGTTCATAAAGGGTTTCCTTATCCTTCAGTGGAACGCCAGAAGCCTGATTGCAAACGCACAAGAATTTAAGAGAAATGTGCAACAGTTAAATGTAAAGCCTGACGTTATCTGTATTCAAGAAACATTCATAGTTCAGATAATTTGACAGAAGAAGGTAAAATCAGAAGACGGCAAACATTAGCTAGATACCCGGAGGTACTCGAGAACAGAAACTCTAATCAGAGTCCTCTAGATGAGGCCTTTACCGTGCCTGAGCTGAGGAGGGCTCTGAGTAAGAGTAAAAGAACGACACCTGCTAAAGACAATATGAGCTTTACTATGATAGAACATTTAAATGCTTCTGCATTGGGTAAAGTACTGGAGTTATTGAACAAGGTTTGGGAGGAGGGGAAGCTTCCAGTAGGGTGGAAAGAAGCAATTATTATTCAGATTAAGAAACCTGGGAAAGATCCTACAGATCCTGATCATTACAGACCGACAGCTTTAACTTCACATGTGTGTAAAACCATGGAGAAAATGATTCCAGAAAGAATAAGAAGAAGAAATGAGCTTCTTTCAGCACTTCAGAGTGGATTTAGAAGGGGGCGTAGTACTCTGGACCCTTTAATATGTTTGGAAACTGATGTTAGGAAAGCTCAAGCTAATAAAGAGGGGGTGCTAGCTGTTTTCTTTGATATAGAGAAGGCGCAGGAGGTCTTTTAATACAGCGAGATAAAATGGGTATTGGAGGTAAAATGTAGAACTGGATCAAAGGTTTCTTATCTGGTAGCTACATAATAAGGAGCAAATATTACAATTACTTAGATATGTATACAGACGGATCTAAAGATGAAGAGGACGAGGGAGGAATAGGAATATATATAGCAACAATGAATGTAAGCGTTGGGAAAAGATGACCTGATCAGGCTTCAGTGTACACGGCAGAGATGATGGTGATTATTGTAGGACTGCGGTGGGTTGAGGAAGTAAAACCAGACAGAGGGGTGTGTTGTGTTGATTCTCTAGCAGCCCTTTATAGTATTCAAAATATGAAATCTGATAGAGAAGATCTAATGCTAGAAATCCAACAGAGTTTATTTAGATTCCAGACACTACGGATAGATGTGAGATTCTGCTGGGTACCTGCCCACGTAGGTATAAAAGGGAATGAGAGAGCAGACAAAACAGCTAAAGAATCAACCGGGACGAACGATGTCATAAATACAGCCCTTGGAAAAGGAGAAGCTGAGGCGATAATCAGAAAAGAAACCATGAAGAAATGGCAGGACGGCTGGGATGTGGATAAAAGTGGAAGGAAATATTACAGCTTGTAAAAATCTATTAATGCTCAGGGAACAGAAGAGAGGAGAGCGTTTTAACCAGGCTGAGGTTTGATCATACAGGCTTAAATAAAACATTGTTTTAATGGGCAAAAGTCAATCAGACGTAGGAAATACAGGGATGAGAGGATGAGGCTGAATCAAAAGATGAGTCAGGCAGGAAGGAAGTGAACCTTGAAGGTTTATTAGGCCCAACAGGAGACGGAGTAAAGGACACACAGAAAGCTGTAGCACAATATCTGAAAAATATAGAGATATCAGAGATAGTGAGAGCAGCTGATGTTGGGGAGGACAGACAAATGTGTTGTAAATTATTACTGATGCAGTCAGAAACTCTCCAACCTCTTTGCAACCTGCAGCTTTGGCTTTTTTATCCAGCGCCCAGCAAAGTAACTTTAAAAAATAAAAGGACCAATATTTCAGTGTAAAAATGCTCAGCAGGTGATCAGAAATGACGTCATAACAGGAAACCAGAATAATCCAGGAGATCATTTCCATGGATGGAAAGAATGAGATCAATAAGTTATTGATTTCCAGTATTGATCAAGAAGAAAGCTGAAAGAAACCAAATGTGTTGATCACTCAGAACAAAGAAATGCAGCTTTAATAGTTTGGATCAATGAAAGATTGATGCTCAGTTCTCTTCACATCATGTTGAAGCCGTTTGGAAAGAAAAGTGGGCTCAGAGTCGGCAGAAGAAAAGGCCAAATATTGATGAAGCAGGAAGAGCAGTTTGGGATCAGATCCAGATCAGATGTTTGTGTGTCTCGGTGTTCTGGACTGATGTTGAACATGTGGAGCTGAGATTCATTTACAGAACAGAGATGAAAACATTTGAAAGCTTCTTCTCTTCAAAGTTCAGCTTTAGATCCAGAAATGTAAAAGTCCAGCAGCTCAACACTGACAGGAGACATTACTGTGAAGCAGCACATGGACAAAACAATCCCAGCAGCATCAAGACTCTGATCATCTCCAACAGCTTCCTGTGTTTCTGTCCCCTGTTAGCTGCTGCTCTCATCTGCTTCTGTCAATAAAGTTATTCAAACTGCTGCTGCTGTCTGTGCAGCTCATGTTCTGCTTTGTTGTCCTCTCAGTCTGTCAGGTGGAGGTGGAGGAGGGGGCGGAGTCTGTCCTGCTGCCCTGCAAGACCACAGACAACCTGCCTGAGGACGTCAGAGTGGAGTGGAGACACTATGATCCCTATGAGACGGTCCACGTGTATCAGAACGGCTCTGACCAGCCTGACCAACAGGACCAGGTTTACAGAGACCGAACAGAGATGAAGGAAGACCTGCTGAGAACTGGAGACCTCAGTCTGACCCTGAAATCCCCCACAGACAGAGACGGAGGACGATACAGGTGCAACGTCTACGACAAGAACTGGAACACCATGAGAGAGAAAACAGTTGATCTCAGGGTCAAAGGTCAGTATGCAGACTGAGGTCAGAGTCTCTGTGTTTGTCTCTGTCTGACTGTCCTCTGTCTCCTCTGCAGAGAGAAGCAGGAACAGAAGCAGCTCCGCTGATCCAACTCCTCTGATGGCCGATCAACCTGTTTGATCTTTGATCATTGATCCGATCTGACTCTGGATCAGAGAGAAAATGGAGGTGAAGCAGCTGATGGAGGACGGATGAAGACAGGAGGACGCTTTGTCAGCTTCTCTTCACTCTGACTCCTCCTACTGACTCTCACACACAGTCTACACACTCACTATTGATTCCTGCTGATCAGTGATGTCAGAGTGAGGTCAGCGTGATGTCACATGGCTTGAACGGGCGTGTTTCCTGTGAACCTCCCAGCGGCTGGATAACAGCTGCGGCTCTCTGGATATTTGTGGCTCGTTCTAATGCGTGCAGTCAAACAAACTTTATTTCTACAGACACAGAGAAGTCAGCAGCTGCAGGAAATCAGAACCACTGACAGGAAGTTAAGAGTCAAGTTAAACCACATGTCAGAACTTTCTACAGCAGCAGGATTTAGAAGATGCTGGAAGCTGCTGTCTTTAGATTTTGGACCCGTCACAATTTGTCACATTTTCTGAAGCCACAACAAATCTTGTTGAAAGGAAACAGTTGATTGAAGGTCCAGTTTCAAACGAAGAGTCAAAGCTTCTCTTTGTGTCGACTCCTTTAATGAGAACATTGAAAAGGACTCGAGTCCAAGTCTCAAGTGTCCAGCTCAGATTATTCCAGCACCAACCCTGGCAGGATGCAAGTTAAACAGAAAGCAACACATTTAGTGACAGAACAGAAAGCAGCCAGCTGTTAAAATGGACTCAGAGAATGAAGACACAATAAGATTTGATTCAGTCAGACTTTCACAAGAACAAAGGTTTGTTCAGCCTGAACACAAATGTGGTCTGTAGTGTTTTTGTAGTCCCTGTTTATTCAGCGCCTCTTCCTCCTCACTACACACTGGATCAAAGCACAGCAGTTAAACCCAGAGGCCTCCAGTGGACCTGGTTCAGGCCTCTGAAACATCTGGACTCTGTGATCTTTGTCTTCCAGCGTTGACATTTGGAGCAGGTATAAACAGACGTCACGTGATCTAGTTTGTTTGAAGCGTACCGAGTCCTTCAGACGTTGATCTCAGAACTCAGCAGAAACTCCACTTCTTTAGTCTCTTTCCTCCAGGTTCTGGTTTTTCTCGTCTCTCTGTTCATTCCTCAAAGATAAAGCTGGATTTTTCATTGAAGCTGAAACATTTCAGTAAATATGCCAGATTTAGCCAGAAGGCTGTTTTTCATCTGTAGTCAGTACAAGTCAACACAAAACAGACAACATAGTAAAACCAACCCAGGGACCAGTAGACTCCAGCACAATATACTAGCAGTCATTATGTTCCAGTACACAGGTCATGAACTGTTACCAGAGGAAATCAGAAGCTTACAGTAATCTGTTGGACTCAAAGATGTTATGTTATTAAAGTGCTGTTTATGCACTCAGATCTAATTCAATAATCTGGTTTCCTGCAGCGGTTTGAAGCCAAAATAAACATTTTGCTGTGATTTCATTTCAATAAACTGATCAAAATGATGCTGATTTGTTGAACATATGAATTCCTGCTCTGTCAGGTCTGTCTTCAAGATGACAAGCAAACATCTTTTAAAACGCTTGTTTTCTAAATGGAGTTCTGCTCAGTCAGGGCGATGCTATGCTAACTTGTTTCAAGTACGACGACGGCTGGAATCATCTATCAGACACAGATTCATTTTCAGACCTCACCAGGTAGTTCAGCTTCCCGCCTCTCTTTTCTCCCAGCATCCTCCTGTCTCGTCTGTAGAAATATGAACTAGTGGTCCACGCGGTCCTTGTGGTCCGGACCGGTTGCCGAGGGGTCCGTTGCTGGTCCAAAGCCACTGCACACCTCCTCTGTATAATAAAAGCTTTATTTGTAGAGCACTTTTCAACACGGGGAACAAAGAGCTTTAAAACAATCCATCTGTCAATAAAGGAAAATAAATGAGGCGTCACACAGTGAAAGCTTTTTGTAGAAATGTGTCTAAGAAGTGAGATGAAACCAGGAGCAGACTCTGAGCCTGTAGGGGCCCTGACAGCAGAGACCCTGTCCCCTTTGGCTTTGAGCCTAGACTTTGGAGCAGTTAGCAGAGCCCTACTAGAGGATCTCAGTCTGCGTCCTGGCTCATATGGGGATAAAAGCTCAGAGAAGGTGCGTGCCCATGTCTGGCCTTAAAAGTGATCAGAAGGATTTTAAAGTGCGTCCTAAAAGAAACAGGAAGCAGGACGCTCACACTGGGCTGATGTGCTCACATTTTCTGCAGCGAGCGGCAGCATTTTGGACCAACTGTAGGTGATGAACTGATTTCTGACTCAGACAGGTATATAGGGAGGATATCGGTCTGCGGCTGAAATGAAAGACTTCACCTCGGCCGCATTTCTCAAATGATAAAAACAGAACAAGCTTACATGAGGTTCAAAACACAAGTCCTAGTTTCTGGCCGAGCTTCTTGTTCGCTTGGGTTTGTCCTGATTTCAGAAAGGAACGAACATCACAGAGGAAGACGCAGAGATGTTGATCCTCACAGGTACGTGAATCTAAACTATAACGTGGTTCATGCTGAACTTGAGCGCTCACTCTTTCTACACATCCTGGCAGAGAACGCTGGTGAGCTCCCAGCATCCTCTCCTGTACCTACTGAACGTGAGCGTTAAAGCGACGAGCGCCAAGAAATTTACTTTACGCAGCGCCTGGATTCACTTTCTTCTCGTCTCTGTTCATTCAGGATAAAGGAGGATTTTTTACTGAAGCTGAAACATTAAAACTTGAGCTGACATGTCTTCACCTCAGCTGGAGCCAATGTGACAGATGGAAATAATGTGTTTTACCAGTAAGTCACAGCAAGCATTTGAGTAAGCAAAATAGAAAAACAGTTAACGGGTTCATATTTAGTCATTTTAAAGCCATCCTCATATTTTAATGGTTTATCATATGTTATGGTTAAAGTTGTTATTGTAAGTTGCAGCAGTCACAGAACAGTATTTTACTGTTATTTCTTATTTTTCATGTGCAAAATGTCATTCTAACAACAGCAGCAGTCAGTGTGAACAAGAGTGTTGTAGTTACTAGAGGGCTCCAGCAGGGGGAGCGTGAAACTGTTGCGCTATGTTACGGTGCACCTCGCTCCCTCCCTTCAGTCATTACACACGTGATCTGAGGAAAGTTTCTGTCCGGAAGTCTTTCATTCAGCTACTCCCCTTTATGGAACGCCAGCTAGCTCACAAACACGTGACGTTTGACACGTGGACAACATGTGGACAAAGTGCAAACAACGTGTGGTTGACGTGTTAATTTTTCACATGTTGTCAACCGCTATTAAACATGCTAAGGATCCTCTAATTTCTCTTCCTTTTCTTCCTTTAGCATGCAGCCTATAAAAATGTAATATTTGGATTGCTGTTTAAGACTTAAAATAAATTAAATAAACTTTATTATTAAAGTTATACATTGTTTTCATCATGTTGCTCATTTACTGCCTATTTTGATAAACAAACACATCAGAGGGAATTATGCTTTTTACACCATTCATCAACTTTAGTTTTATATCTTAAAAAAACATGAACAGTTGTGCGGGGGAAAATAACAGCAGTGGTACTCATTTGATGTTGGTGTAGGAAACAGACCATTGTAAAAAATACTGTATGTCTAAAACAACATGAAGCTTTTTCAGCATTTTAATGTAATTTAGGGCTTTGACCAGCAGGGGGCACATTGTGACTAATTATGGGGCTTGTTAAAACCTAAACGGACCTTGTTTAGATATTAGGCACACATATGTACACAGGTGATATTACCCTTTTTGATGAAATGTATAGCTTCCAAAGATGTCGGGATTAGAATGAAAGTTTGTAATTAGGTCAGTAACTGATTTGACTTTCCTGACAGCAGATGTACACTACTGTGCCAAACTCCTAGGTCGTCCTCATCTTATTAAAGCCTAAAACCTGAGACGTGTTTAGCCAGTTACAGCCTATTATACATAATAAGTTAGATAATAATGTGGTTCAACAGTTTTAATTGTGCGCAATATTGTGCAAATGGTCTGATGGCTCTTGTTAAATATCAGCAGACTCCTCATTGTTGGCAATAAAATCACGAGTGTGGCTATCCATAGCTGCTTTCAAACTGCATTAAACTCGCTGTATGAAAGGTACGAAGCGTGAAAGGGGGGTCTGATTTGATCCACCTCTGCGCCAGGAACATGGGTAGTAACAGAGACGGAACGATGTCTGTGTGAAAAGCCACAGCCGGCATGCTGGTGTTGTGTCTGTTGGTCTTTTTCTGTCACAGCGCTGGTTCCGCAAAAATCGCATCACTATGTGAAAGCATGGTTGCGGGATTATGCTGCACGCTTTTGAATGAGCAAAATCGGATATTGGAGATACTGGGGAAATGAAAAATCATCATTTGTACTTAATGGATGCAGATCAAACACTGGAACACACACACTGCAGCACATGCTATGTTGTGAGCATGTGAAACAGCACTTTATGACCAATTTGTGGAAGTGGGGGGAAAATTCTCCCAATGTGATCAAACAACCTTCTAGGTGGGAGTCCTGCACTTTAGCAATTGAGCTAACTGAGCACCTGTCAGGATCGCTGGGAGCGCAGAGCAGGTGAGAGCCCAAATGCATGACACAGCGCTGAGATATAGTTCAAGGGTATTTAATCCAGGGCAAGACAACACAGGCATGAACCAAACTCACGAGTACAAGGAAACCGGTACATCCAAAAACCCAGAACAGGTAATGCATCAACTCGCAGAACAAACGACAACCGACTGAGCAGACATGCGACCGTGAACAGAAACACCAGACATTTATACACAGGGACTAACAAGCAGGGCGGGAGCAACACAGGTGACTGGGATCAGGGTTAACGAGGCAGAGAGACAGAAGGGGAAACAGAGAGGCTGGATGGCAGGCAGATTACTGGAGGTGAGCAGACATTACACAAGTACTGAACACTGAACATATCAAGGTAAGAAGTAACAGATCAGAATAATAAAAATAACAAACTAACCCAGACACCATCAGAGATATCACCACTAAACTAACACCAACAAGGAACACAGACTGAAGATAAAACAGAACTCAGATCAGTCGTGGGCAAAGCACTACAGAAGTACACAGACCAGGAACCTGTTTCAGAAA